TGGAGCCTTATATACTAATGGCAGGCATGGTGGAAAAACCACCAAGGTCAGCAGCCTACGGGAGAAGGCCTAGGCCCTGTTCCAAATGATATGACAGACTTTGGAGATCCCCCATGGAAGGCCTCACCCTCCCTGGGGAGCAGAAAGGTGAATGGATGGGGATTGGTGGGAGCAGGGGAGGAGGGGAGGGAAAGGGAACTGTGATGGACATGTAAAACAAGCTTGTTTCTAATTTAAATAAAAAGAAGTTTGGTTAAGAGAAATAGCCAAAGACATTGCAGTCACTGTTAGAGACGGTTGACAATAACCAGCTCCAGGCCAAGGCACGGGGACAGATTTCTGGAGCCTGAAAGGAAAAAGCCAGATAGAGAAAGCTGTGTTGTAAGTAAGAGTGACCTTCCATTAAGGGACGCAGTCACGCCATATCACCTTGTGAAGAGTCAGAAGCCCAAATACCTGACCTCATGGTCATCCCCTTCCTGTTGGTTCCACCCAGTAGGAAGTCAGAAGCAAGGAAGCTGCTGCATGAGTACAGGCAAAGGAGAAGGGGAGAGACCAACGCACGATACCCGGCACTCAATTGCAGGCATTTCCTCCGTGCTGAGACTTCCTTACTGCCGAGTGCTACATTTTACTGATTCCTGCCCTCAACTATTAAAACAGTCACATTCACTCACACACAGAGATGTGTCCACCCACACAAAAATAAACAACCCGGTTGGTGAAGCTTTCCCTAAACAGTGTAGATTCTATAATGCTGAGCCTTGTTTGCATTTCTGGCATAACCCTGACCTGGCCATAGGTCCCTAGGCACAGGCATTGCAGAGCTGGATTTCCTAAGGCGTTGTGCATCCACTTGAATGAGTGAGATGGATCCACACTTTTCTAGTGCCCTTGTATGTCAGCTCTGCCACCGAGATTGAATTAGTCCTGTAAAATGAGGAAATTTCTCATCCCTCCTTTCCGCAACGTTTACTGTAACACAGGAATTCTCTATTCTCCTAATGTCTAGTAAAACACGCCTCCAGTACTATTTTTAGACTCTTGGACTTTTAAGGGAAGTGATCATTTTTCCTACTAACTTAATTTCCTTATAGTTCTGGGCTGAGTTGGGTATCTTATTCTTGCTGTTTCTTGGAAATTAGCCAGTTAACACAAAGCTTTTGAATGTCTTACTACAAAGCCTTGTCTTCTTCATATTTAACCTTTTGCCATCTTATGAAATGAATCTTCCAGTTTACAGTGTGCATGCTTGTGTGTGTGTGTGTGTGTTTGTGTGTGTGTCTGTGTGTGTCTGTGTGGGGGTGGATAGATGTGTCTGAATGTGTGTCTGTGTGTATGTGTGTCTGTGTGTGTCTGTGTGTGGGGGTGGGGTGGGTGGGTGGGTGGGTATGTATGTGTGCATCTGTGTGTGTGTTTGCGTGGGGTGTGTGTATGTGTCTGTGTGTGTCTGTGTGGGTCTGTGTGTGTCTGTGTGGGGGTGGATAGGTGTGTCTGAGTGTGTGTCTGTGTATATGTGTGTCTGTGTGTGTCTGTGGGGGGTGGGGGGTATGTATGTGTGTGTTTGTGTGGGGGGTGTCTGTGTGTATGTCTGTGTGTCTGTGGAGAGGTGAGTGGGGGTTGGGGGGGTGTCTCTGTGTGTGTGTGTGTGTGTGTGTGTGTGTGTGTGTGTGTGTGTGTGTGTCTGTGTGGGGAGAGCTAGAGATTGATGTTGGATTTCTTCTTTAATAACCTTCCACTTTATTTTTTGAAAAGGGGTTTCTCCCTGAACCAGGAGTTCACAAATCCATGTTTGGACAGTTTGTCCTGAGTATCCCATTTCCAACTCCCAAATACTAGGTCTCATACTTTTGCGGTGAGCATTTTATCTCCCCAGACCCCATGTCTTAGTTCATGTTTTCCATGCTGGGAATTGAACCCACGTCCTCATACGCGCTAACAGAGCATGCTTTATTACTAGGTCGCACCAGCCCTCCAGCTCTCTCATAAGTAGCATGGTGGACACTCCGCTCCTACGGAGAATTTGCTGATCCCCTTTATCCAATATAAATAACTCAGAGACTTCACCTGCTCTAAGTGTCTTACAGATGAGCTCCCCACAAATATTTGCGTTTCTGTTTTGTTTTCTGATCTAGGGAAATGTTTGCCTTGTACTGAAGCCAAACCGTGTCATGTTGGCTTTATTTTTTTGTCCTTTGCGGACAAAGAATGTCACAGAAATGCGATTGCATTCTTTCTGGGCCATAAGCTGTCTTATGATCTCCCGTCACAGGACACATTCTCCACCTCCCAGAGTTTTAAAAGAAACATCTTGAAGTCACTGTACCACACGAATGTTACATTTTCTTTGGGTTGCTCTGACCCACCTTCCTTTTCTTATTAGTACACATAAATAGCCTCTCTTCGGTTAGTGTTTGTCACCGAGTCCAGAGACTTGTGGTGTATGGGTGCCTTACTCTGCATTCCCAAAGCCCTAGAACACACTCCAACTGATGATATCGATCGTGTGTTGAACAGCCAAGCAATTCAGAAATCTTCAGACAAGTAAGGTATTCCCGAATAGTAAAAAATGAAAAAGTTCTACCACACCGCTTCTCTAAGCCACGCCTTCCAGCGTGTTTCCTCTGCAAGGTATGAATCGAGGACTCTTTCTTCCCCTGGAGGGCAGGGGATGTGCGTATGAACCCTGGATGTCGAAGCAATGTCACTCGACTGGCGTATTTAAGTGAAGCCAATTGTCCCAACCTTTTATTATTATTATTATTATTTCTGTACAGTTTCTCCGGCTAAAAGCTCTCTCTGCACATGCAAAGCTGCTTACAGTGTCGCTTGCTGCCCTCTAGTGGCTTTGTGAAGACAATGTGTGGCTGTTTTCTTTTTTTCAGAAAGTTGCCTGGAGAGTTCTTTAACAGTGTCTATCATTTAACCTTTATCAGAACCGTGAGTTTAAATAGAAGGCTGAGAATAAAGGAAAGGAACCTCTTGTGACTCAGACATTTATACTATCAAATCAAAAAGCTGCTGCAGAGATTATTTTTAAATGACTCAAGTATCTTGGCTTCTTCAGACTCAGTGTTCATACAGCACACAAAAATCCTTCTACAATCTAGTCTCCAAGCATTTCTTTTGTTCATATGTGGCAACGTGGGAGCCCTCCAGACTCCCAACAGAAAAAATGTCAAAGGAATCATCAGTGTCTCTCGGGGAGTTTTGAAAGCTATCTGCTCCCAAGACATACCCCAGACCCGGGGACTGGGAGATTCAGCCAAGTGTTGCAAGATTTTTGTTTCACAACTTGAGAGCATTCTGAGGATCAAGCATTTCCAGGGCAAGCAATGAGGTGAAGAACCCAGCCTGAGACTGGATATATATCTGAGATGAATCCTAGTGATGCCACTTTCTGGTTGGACAAACTTGGACAAATCATTAGCCTTTCTAAAAAACAAGGACCCTCATAATTTATACACAGAATAACGTGTGATGGTACATTTACTCATGGACACAGTGTGGAATAATGGCTACACAAGCCATACACATTCATGCATACACAAATCCTGGAAACCCGCCGTGCAGAAGAGACACAGACCCTTCCTTCTGTTTTCCCTTCACCCAAACCCCACTCCCAGCCATCATAGGTTCTTCCTCCCAGGGTTGGGAGGCTCCTTCTTGGGTTCTCCCTCCAGCATCCTGACACAGCAGCCACTACCTCCTAAACCCGCATCTTCATGCCCTGAAAAGCTGAGAGTGAAGGGAACAAAGCAAGCTTCTCCTGCTGCTTTGGTCATCTCTCATTGCTTCTTTGCTGGACTGAGCTCCTGGGAATGATCTCATAGTCATCATCGATTACTACTGACAAGTCCGAGGAAGCCTCTTTTGTGAGACTACCATAGACAGCCAGTTCTTACCTCAAACACAGACTGCCTGGATGTGAAGAACACAGCTGTCTCTCAGAAGACCTACACACACACACACACACACACACACACACACACACACACACCTGCATGTCAACGTGAGGAGACCAGTTTTGTCTCCTACGCTCAGCTTGTCGTACCCAATGTCTTCTGAGGTGAGGGAAGGCCAGGCAGTAGGCCAGAGCAAAAACTCAATGGGTAAAGTGCTTGCTGTGTGGGGATGGGGACCAGACATTGGATGCCAACCTCCACAAAAAAAAAAAAAACAAAAGCTAAAAGTTCAGGCCTGGAAGCATTCCGTTATGACAGTCAGCAGAGATTGGGATGGGAAGAGTTTTGTGTAAATACAGATGGTTCACAAGGGCTCACTTGGCCAGCCATCTAGTGGAAACCGTTTGTTACAAGCTCAGTGAGAGACCCTGTCTCAAAACAAAAAAAAGTTGAGCTCTATCTAGTCCCTACATGTACACACATGGATGGGTGTGCCCACACATGCATGTACATCGGAGAGAGAGACAAGTTAGACAGACCCCTGGATATACTTCCGCTCGGTTTTAGCGAACCTTTTAAGCTCCAAAAACATGTCTTCCATAAAGCCTAGAAAAAGATGACCCTGCCACTTGTTAGCACTTTGCACTTTCCTTTTAAGTGCCTCTTGTCACCCATGATTACTGAGGGAGCTTCTCTAGAGACCTTCAAAATAATGTCATTTCCTAAGCACTGGCACAGCTCAGCTGGGTGGTCAAGGGACGATCGGGTGTGGCTCTGGTGTCTCTCTCATTTCTGCTCGCCTAAGACCCCGGCTATTTGGTCCCTCGGTGCAGCAGGAAAAGCGATCAGTTCCCTGACCGAGATTTTCATTAATAACTCACTGGAAACCGTGTGATAGAACAGTAAAGAACCCCAGGGGTCAGGAAACCTTTCCCACAGACAATAGCGGCGATACTGCGAGAATCACCTTCTCTGCGCATGCCCAAGAGGAAGTCCTGCTTTCACAGAGTGCTCGGGTGGTTTCATGTCTCTGCTTGTGTGTTTCAACGCCTCATGGCATGGGGAGGCTGACTACTCTAAATATTGGACTTCTAGAAGCTTGAACCCGTTGACCTGCCACAAGTGATTACCTCTGAGCGACTCCTGCGCCAGCAAGTGCCCAGAACAAGACACAAAGCAAAGGTGAGCCGTGGCAGCGGCTGACGGGGGGAAGTGGGTGAGCCTGGGGGAGTCGCTCTTTTTCATGTTTCCCCTTCACACAGGAGTTCAAAGCCAAAGCAGACACTTCAGTCCTTGGCAGGTAGGGTGTTTGAAGCCTCAGTGCATGCTTGCCCAAGCCTGCCTCCAACTGGCAACTGCTCTTCACTCTGGGATGAGGCCGGGCTCTGTTTGCTTTATGGAACAAACAGAGCTACGCAGATGAAAGGGAATTTTACATGGCAATAGATGATTCTAGAAGTTTTAAAAATCTGCAGTAAGGGAAAGCCAATGGCCCTTCCCTTTGCTCCTGCTGAGTTTTAAACTCCCTCTATTCCCTCTCCAGAGAAGGTCTTATCTACAAGTTGTTCTGGCTCCTGTGCCACAGCCTCCATCAAAATGTAACCCCAGGAAAGATCTTCTGTTAGCTTTGTCCTGCTGAGTAAAAATGAATGCTATTAGTAGGGGTCACTCTCATGTCCTGTCCTGACTCATGCTGGAGCCAGCCAGACACTCCTGTGTGACTGGGCAAGGGACACCTGAACACTCTAGGTCCTCAAGTTCATGCTTACGGTGCTGACAGTGGAGACAGCCTCTCCCTAAATTTCTACACCATCTGACATTGTCCAGAGGGCAGCAGAAAGGGCTGTCATCATCTCTCTCCTTAACCTCTGGACAACGGCAAATGACAAATGAAACTATATCATCTCTGCTTGTCCTCAATAGCCACCCCTATTATGCGACTGAATTTCATGACAAATTAAGGGGAAACCACCAGACTTACAAGTAGTCACCTCAAATCCTCCCTCAACTGCCATGCTCTCTCCAGTTTGTATTCGAAGACGAAAATATACTGTAGAGAAATAGGTCCTACTGAGCACCCCCCCAGGGGGATCTGGTCTCATTTCAAGTCAACCCGTCAATGGTAGAAGACACAGGAAGAGAAAGGAAGGTTTCATCAGGCCAGGATGCTTAACTAGAGAGACACTAGAAGCATCTGTTGGGAGGGGAAATGGTATGTTGTCAATGTGAGATTATCAAAATGAAATCATCAAAACCCTTGCATTCAAGGCTTGCAAAGCCTTGCAAGAACCTTTAAAACAGAATTAGATACACAGCAGATTGCCACTTCCTTCTCTGACAGCTCCACAAAGAACTTGTCAGGGGTACACCACCACCATACCTTTATCATGACAGGAGACGGGCTACGGATTACGATGGATTAAGGTCTGTTCCAAGAAGGGTTGAAGGCAGTGAATTGCGGGATTCGGTAACAATTACCCCCATACTAATAAACATGTCATCTTTCATGGCAGGAACTTGAGAAGACACTGCATCTCTCAATGTACACTTCGGGGAATAGACAGTATTTACATAAGATGCAGATGCTGGAGATGAACCATAAAAGACATGAGGTAAAGAGAAGAGGATCACGTTTACCATATTTGGAGGGAGGGCAGCGTCACTGTCCCACCGAGTCCAGACTGTTCTCAGTAACACAGCAGAAGTTGCCACAGCCTGAGCTGGGAGAAACAGGAAGATGACCTTTTGCTCCCTGCCTTGATGAGGCTTTTTTTTTTCCACTGCCAGATTAGATCTGTGCTTCAAGCGTCCCTTTCTTTTGTGTTTTTTTATTTATTTCTTTATTTTGTGGGGACAGAGAGCACACACATGTGCTGTGAGGTCAGAGGCTAATTCTTGGTGGTAGGTTTGGTTTTTGGTTTTTAATTTTTTCCTCCCATCATCTGGGTTCTAGTTATCAAATTCAGATTGTCAGGCTTGGCAGCAAGCTCCCTTGGCCACTGAGTCATCTCACTGGTCCCTCTAGTGTCCCTCTTTCCTTGTTTCTTTGTTTTGTTTTTAAGAAAGGGTCTCCTTAACAGCCCTGACCGGTCTGGAACTCACTGTGTGGGCCAAGAGGGACTCCTGCCTCTTGAGTGTTGGGATTAACGGCGTGCAAAAGCCTAGCTTGTGTCTCTTTTAAAAAAGCTGCTCTTTGACCTTCTGATTGTAGCCAGAAACTAGGGTAAATAATACTCATTTCTTCGTTTAGTAAGAGAAGGAACGGAAGGCCAGTCTTTATTCTTATCCACAGGTCTCTCCCTATAATCCATGTCGTAGAATTTCCTAGGGAGAAGCATCTTGTACTAGGCACACTTGTACCCCATGACGGGGAGGCTGTAGAGAAGGACTGCCACAAGGTCTAGGGCAGTCTGGGTTACGCAGAAGGTTTCAGGACAGCCAATCTGTGGAGTGAAACCCTGTTTCCAAAAGAAGAACCAAGCGATGCCTTCGTATTGATCCATTTCCGCTGTAAGAGAACACCAGAGACTTGGTAATTAATAAAGATGATGGCTTAGTTAGGGTTTCTACTGCTGCGAAGAGACACCATGACCACGGCAACTCTAATCAGTGAAAAACATTTAATTGGGTGGCTGCTTACTGTCCAGAGATTCAGTCCATTACCATCATGGTGGGACATGGCAGCATGCAGGCCGACCTGATGCTGGAGAAGTAGCCCAGTGTCCTACGTCTTTACTTGTAGGCAACAGGCGGTATCTTGAGCACATATGAGACCTCAAAGCCCAATTCCACAATGATGCACTTCCTCCAACAAGGCCACACCTCCTAATAGTGCCCCTCCCTTTGGGGGCTGTTTTCTTTGAAACCACCCCAGACGATGAATATATTGCTCATTGCTCTGGAGGTGAGGACGTCTAAGACTGGTAGTTGATAAGAAGCAGCCCCACATAGCAGAGAAAACGGCAAATGACAGTGTTCATGAGAGTGAGGGGTCAGGGGCAAGAGCAAGCCAAGGCAACCTTCACAACTTTCCAGGGAGAACTAGCCTCCTCCTGTGATAGAGGTTTTACTCTGTCCTGCAGGTGAAGCCCTCACCACCCAAACACCACCTACCAAGTAGCGTAAGAATTGGGGCGCTACTGTGAATTCAGGAGGACACATTGGAACACTTTCTCTGAGAAAGGTCTGCAGCCTGAAACCCCCCCTCCCTAAAGAGCCAGCCTGTAGTTGTGTCCTCTGCAATTCCGAAAGCTCGCCCACGGGCCAAAGGCTGACAGGAACCCTCGTTTCATTGGTCCACCCCTCTACAAGCCAGTAAGCATGCTCATTCTTCCCCTAAGCAGCCTGAGAATAAAGTCACCACAGAATGGGACGGGAACAAAACCAGCCCAGCGCTTTGAAGGGTGTCCAGGTCTGTGAGCTGTCCACACTTTGGATGTTACCGAATCTGTTCTGAAGAAGACAGTTTCGGAGAATATTAGCTACTTCTAGCTTATCATTTCAGGCCCAAATGGAGTTGATGAAGAGCCGTCATAGTATAGCAAGACTTGATATGAAAAAGCTGAAGGACCACAATGGCAATAAAATCACCCAAAGCATGCCAAGGAGCAATGGCTGTGACTTTATCAACACACTGCCTGATGAAACCATGGAAGGAGACCCAGGTGAGAACTGTGGTTCCTCTGGCAAAACATTTCACATTCTGTTTTGATTTTGTTTGGGGAGGGGGTGGTTGTTTTAAGACAGGCTTTTATGTAGCTCAGGGTAGCCTTAGACTCACTATGTAGCCAAAGATGACCTTGAACTTCTGACCCTCCTGCCTCCTTCTCCCAAGTGCTGCACTGCACCGCTATGCCTGGTTTGTTTAAGCCATGCTAGATATGGAGCCCCGGGCTTTGTGCATGGCAGGCAAACACTCCGCCAACGTGGCCACACCCCCACCTCCTTAGTTTAGTTGCAAGACAGAGTCAAACTGGAACTCAAGATCCTCCTGCCTTGGCTTCTTGAGCCTGAGATGTGCACACGTTTGAAACCTCATCAAATAAATGTCCACGGTGGGCAGGGGGAGGAGAGTGAGGACACGGCAAACAGCTGTCACTGGGGGGACCGAACGGCATGCTGCACTGTGTTTCACATCTCAGAGGAAAAAAACAAAACAGCTTACAGCTCTGCATGGAGGCTTCTTTCTTCCAGTGGGTTCTAAGCGCCTTACCGGCACTCCTGAAATCACGAAACAGGCTCGTAGCATCGTCTTACATCAGACGACGACGAGGCTCTTATAGACAGGTGAAGTTGCCTGTACTGGCAGGGCACATCAGGGCACATGCATGTCAGCTCCTTACGCCTCGGAGCACCCTTTCTGCCGAGTTCAGCCTTCCCGGGTAGCCAAGAATGCCTACGGTGAGGCTGGCACTTCTCCCCTCTCCCCTGGCTCCTGCTTCCTGCATCATCTCTATGGGAAGGACGTCGTGTCCCATGTCACTTGGGGCAGGGCTACATCCCCAGCCCCGTATGCTGAGGTTCTGGAAGCACCGTGCGGACGCAGAGTAACCTCATAGAAAGCAAATCCGCCCACGTCACTCTTAGAAAATAATCACCAGGACGGGGGAGCTGGCTCGGTGGTCCAGAGTGTTTGCCATTCTTCCAGAGAAGCAAGTTTGCTTCCCAGCACCCATGTAGGGTAGCCCGAAACTGCTGTAACTCCAGCTCTGGAGAGTCTGGTACCCCTTCTAGCCTCCTCCAAAACCTGCCTGCACACACGTCATTTTTGAGAAATGAAGTCAGAGTTCTCTCAACCTGAGGACAAAAAACTCAACTCTTTAAGAGGCGGGGCCTCAGACCTTTCGGGATCTAGCCGCTGCCTATTTTCTGATTTCATCTACTGCGGCTCTCAGCCAGCACCACACTCTAGCCTTGGATTGTTCTGGGCCTCCTAACAGACGTCCTCATCCACAACCTGTCTGCTGTGCTGCCCACAGCGTCCATCAGGGTGCGTCCCCCCAGGACACAGCTTGGTGTGTGCAGGATTGCTCACACACAGAGGCTGCTGTGCTGGGGGCAAAGCCCCACATCAGTAGGGCTGACCGAGGTGGAGACGAAGCAATGGCGAATGAGCTCTGAGAGGCAAAATCACCTGCTGAAGGGGAGGCTGTCTCCACTCCAAAGAACAAGGGTCTTGATAAATTAACTAAGCAAAGGGCAGAGTAACTGCAAATCAACTTGGGCACTCGTTTAATCTATGCCCCAGTCTCAGACAGAGATAGGCTTTGTTATCAAATAAACAACTTTTGCAACTGAAAAAAAAATGACAAAACAACTAAGAAGAAAGGGTTCCTCTAAAGTTAAGCACTCCGCGTCATCACCTGAGAACAAGCCTAATACAATTACACTGGCAAAAATCTTTGGTCTGGTTTGGAGGGACACAGGAGGGACTGAAGACAGGGGTTTTCCATTGCTCCCCTGGGAGGGGGGTTGCAGACCCCACCCTCTCTCTCTCTCTCTCTCTCTCTCTCTCTCTCTCTCTCTCTCTCTCTCTCTCTCTCTCTCTCTCTCTCCTCTAAATCTGCAATCCCAGTTCTTGATCACCATGAACTCCTTGAACTGCATAGTGAGTGCCAGGCCAACCTGGACTCCATAGTGAGACTCAGAAACAGACATTCCCTCATTTAATTCTCACACAACTAGAATGTCGGGCTCAGCACTCACCCCTAATGTGACATCGCTAGAGTTCCAGGGCACATCTTCTTGACCTGCCTGCCTCCACAGACTCCCTCAGATGTTAAGGGTTCACAGCTTTGTCTAGGACAACCTTGGAAAGCACGCAGGCCTCCCATCTTTGAAGAAAACTGGAGAAGCTCACAGATGCTGGCCTTCACAGTCTCCTACCCCAGACTTTTGTAGGGTAGCAGCAGGAAGAGGGACCCCAGCAGGAGCCAGCTGCTGACCATACAAGGAGGGAGAGCTATCTCAACCAACCGAGATGGGCCAGCAGCAGAATCCCCTGGGGAGTGAGGACTTTCCCAGCTCCTATCCTCATCCTAATGAACCAGCATCTCAAGACAGAGGTGGCAAAGGAACCCTGCATTTTAGTTCTCCGAGTGACTCTGAAGATCAGCAGTCCTCAGATGGACTTGGCCTTAAATTTTACGGGAGTCTTTTTTTCTTTGCGGTGACTGATGTGTATATGAATATGCCTGTCAAAACGCATCTGTAACTTGCTATTATGAGATGAAAAATTCTAATTGTTCTTCATTAAAAAATGAGATCGCAAGTGAAGGAGACAGGCCCCTCCCCTCGGCCCTCACCACCTGTGGCAGGCAGGAGAGCTGGTCATGGGAGTGGGAGAGCTGGTCCTACCCCTCACTAGGTTCAGCACAGTAGAGCTGATCCTTTCGGTGGGTGAGCTGCCCCCCACCCCCAGGGTGCCATGAGGTGGTGTGGGCGAAGGAGGAAATGGCATGTCTCCCTCACCCCCTAGGGCAGGTGGGAGAGCTGGCCCGGGGGTCATAAGAACAGGAGAGCTGGCCCTGCCCCTCACCAGCTGCAGCACTTGGGAGAGCGGACTCTTACCTGGGCAGCACAGTAGAGCCTGCCCTGGTGGTGTGGGCGCAGGTGAGCCAGCAGTGAGGTTGTGAGGCAGGGAGATCTGGTCCCACCCTTCACAGGCTGTTGCATTGCCTGAGCTAGCTTGGGCAGTGCCGGCGGGGAGCTCACCCTGGTGGTGAGGATGCCAGAGAGCTAGAGGGATGAACAACTCAGCTCTAACCCAGGTCCAGATCCAGGGCTGTGCGTTAACCCACCCCAACATCGGCCCCATCTGTGAACTGCTGGAGCTCACAAAGGGGCCAGTCCCTCAGATGCAAAGCTACAAGATCTCCACAACACAGGGCAACGCCGGGAGAGCCAAGAGGAGTCCCAGCGAGGATCCAGTGTTGATCCTCGCTGTAGCAGAAGCCAGAGGCCTTGAACCAGACTCAGTGCAACGAACATTTGCAAGTAAAGATGTATGGACTAAAGGATGTACTGTCTGACTCACCGTGACACACCATAGCTTCCACAAGACTTTTTTTTTGTCTGTTTTAATTTTATCTTATTGGGGTGTGCGGGTGAATACGAAGGGGCAGGCAGATGAGTGGGATTGGGATGCATGAATTGAAATCCACAAAGAATCAATAAAAAGTTCAAAAATAAAAAGCTGGAGGATTTTAAAGCATGAGATCACAATTAATTAGGATCTCACGGAGGAAGACGTCTGTAGGCAATATCCTTGCCTGCTGCTGAAGTTGCTAGAAATGGAAATCTATTGCTTACTTTTCCGGTTGCTGTGACAAGATTGCTGACAAGAGCTCTGTAGAAGGAAGAGCGTTCTTGTTGGTATGTTTTTGCTCTTTGACTCTTTTTTGGGGGGGGGATGACACCCAGCTCTCAAATCCTGACACAGAGGCTTATTCTTTCTTATAAATGCCTGGCCTTAGCTTAGTTTGTTTCTAGGCAGCTTCTCTTATCTTAAATTATTCCATCTATCATTTGTCTCTGGGCTTTGATCTTTCTCTATCTCTGTATGCCTTTGCTTCTTTCTCCGTGGCTTCCTGTGTAGCTGGGTGGCTGGCCCCTGATGTCCCCCTCTCCTTGTTCTGTCTTGCTCCCCCTCCTCCTCCTCCCAGATCTCTCCTTCTATTTAATCTCTCTGCCTGACAGCCCCGCCTCTCCTTTCTCCTACTTCACTATTGGGCATTCTGCTCTTTGTTAAACCAGCAGCTGTTTTAGACAGGCAATCCGGCAGGAAAGGCATGTGGCTGGAGAGGCTGGTCGCATTGTATGTGCAGCCGGGAAGCAGGTAGAGATGGATACTGACCCAACAGCTCGCTTTCTTCTCCGTCCTTTCCACCCAGTCTGGAACCCAGCCTATGGGATGGTGCTCCCACATTTAGGGTATGTCTTCCCTCCAGAAGCCCACTTGCAGATGCACCCACAAAATAAAGACCAAACATCCTACAGTTGCACGTCTTAGGCCTTTAGGTCTTATGGGTTCAATCTTGGCAGAGTGAGGAGTTTTGAACTCTCTGACCCTAAGCTATTTTTATTTTTTATGGGTCTCAACACTATACTTTTGTCATTAGGGGAACAAATAAATGAATGAACCAATGAGGAATCAGAGAATTTTAAGATGTGGGCAGCAATGGCAACCAGGACCTGGGAAATTACTTCACGACTAGAACTTACACATGTCAATCATCTTGTTCTGAAAATGACTAGGAACTGCAAGAGGCATCACTGAGGACAGGAATCTTCCAGAATGTTTAACCGGATGTAGAACTTTGAAATGGAAAGAAGATATCTATTAGCAGTGGGGTCTAATAAGCGATGAATGGTAGCTTAAGTGCCTCAGCATTTTTGGTGCCATGATCACCCCAGTCTAAAATGTATATGTTCAGTTTCATCCTTGAACACCAGCCCGTCTCACTAATTCACTAATAGGGTGCTGTGTACACAGTCCTGGGTACGTAACTTAAGGGCATCTGAGGTAGATGCAGCAACATTCTTATGAGATATTTGATGGTCTAACGGCTTACAGACTTGAAAACAATAAAACTAAAAACAAAATCATGACCTCTCGAAACCTAAATGGTATGGAGTGAGCAGAGTAGATAGAGGCCAGTGAATATAAAGCTCTATGATTAAGATTTTTTTGTGGTGGCACACGCCTTTAATCCCAGCACTCGGGAGGCAGAGGCAGGCGGATCTCTGTGAGTTCGAGGCCAGGCTGGACCCACAGCCTCCAAAACAATCCAGAGAAACCCTGTCTCGTAAAACCAAAAAAAAAAAAAAAAAAAAAAAAAGATTTTAAATTTTTTTAAGGGGGAAGGCAATATATGCTGGTGTGTGTGTAGGCAATGAGGAGTGATTTAAATAGTAACAAGCATGAAGAATGTTTGACGGGTGTATATTTTATAGTAACATGTTTTAGAAAAATCCGACACCACTGTATAAAACTATAACATCACAGTAGTTCAAAGACAAAGCTGTATGTTTTCAAACAACTAGCAATGTAGTAGTTAAATGGCGGATATATAAGATTGCAGTTATGACGGTGACACTGAAATGATCGATTTGGGGTGACATTTTCTGAAAGATATGATTGTTTTAGTATAAGACATAGTGGTAGTTAACATTGGCTGTTATCATGACTGGTTCTAAAAGCACTGAAGAGACAAGTCTGTAAGCAAGCCCAGGAGGGACTCTCGACTAGGTTAATTGAGATGGGGAGACCCACCCTGAATGTGGTACCTGTAAGGGTTCAGGCATGATGCTGGCCCACCCTGTCACCCGGCAGAATGCACTCAGACATGCTAGTCAGCGTACAGGTGCAAAGACCCCTGCTCACTTACACTCTCTTCCTTGCTGTCCCCTGGGGCAGACAGGCCTTGTTCTGTCTCCTCTTCTCTTCTGTCCTCTCTCTGGCTTCTGGTCCTCTTGACCCCACCTCTTGGTTTCTGGGATTACAGGCATTTGCCACCAGCCCGGTTTGTGTGGCACGTACTAATCAAGCATCCCAGTTCCAGCAACTGTGCTAAGCCCCTGCCCCTAATTTTTAGATGGTTCGACTGAAAGCAATATTGTGGCCAAAATGTTGTGGATGAGTTGGGGATCTAGGTTTGTCTTAATAGTCTTGTTACTTTTAAATGATTAAAGAAAATTAAATAACAGCCAAATATTAATTTTTACAGTCAATGCGCGTGTTGTTGTTGTTGTTGTTGTTAAAAACAATGAATAATCTCAATGATGAACAAAGGAAAACCAGAGCAAAGCAAAAGGAGCAAGGCAATTCTTTTTGCAAAAAAAGGTGTGCCAGAATCCAAACTGGGCCACTAAGGGACAGGAAGTGCTCGTGGTTTTTATCCTAGCACAGGTAGTGACTGTGTCTTCTCCCCATTGGTTGGGTTCCAACCTCGCAGTCTTTGGAAACTGGCTAGTTCTGAAAGAATAAGGAAATGAAGGGGAGTAGGAAGGGATGGAGCACTGAAGTCACTTAAAGACAAGAATACAAAAGGATCTTTGTGTAAACAACAGTTTTACCAGGTGTGGGGGGTGGGTAGGAAAATTAAAACAATTGCATAATAGGGATAGGAGCCACAGAAAGATTTTCATTCCATGTGGCAAACAATAGTTTTACAGTGTTTACAGAAAAAAAGGCTAATACTTCATTTTTCTTCCAGTATTAACCTTATGTGGGTTATTCTATGATGATAAGAGCATTTTAAATAGCCAGTCTTAAGGAGACAGTAAAAGAACTTTTGCTCATTTGCAGGAAATGCACAGGATGAAGAATTCTTGGAATATCACACAAAGAATGACTATTGTGCCCAGAAAACTGGCAAAATGGAAGCGTGGCTCCGTGAACAGGAAGCCCAAGGACGGCTTTTCTGGGACAGCTCCAGCTCTGACTCAGAGGAGCGTGGAGATCAGAGGCGACCGCAAGCACTGGTGAGGACCAGGACAGAGAGGATCCCACTTTACGACTCATTTTATGACGGAGAATGATAAAGCTGCACACGACCCAGACAGTGAGGACACTGAACGGTTTGTCTGTTTTCATCAGAGTCATTCCTATTTGCATATGGACCACTCTGAGGGAAGTAACTTACTTTGGTAGAAAGAAAAAACTGCCACCTGGAGTCATGTGGTGAATAGGTTTGTCGTGTATGCTACAAGTCAGTGCCTTAAAACTGAGGGGCGGAAACAATGAGCATTTGATTGTCTTACTTTTCTGCGGATAGCTGGGCTCAGTGAGGTTGTTCTGTTGGTCTCTTCAGATAGCTTATGTAATTTGACATCAGATGACAGCTAAGACTAGAGTCACATAGAGACTGAGCTTGAACACGAGACAACTGGAATTTGATCACTTTCCATGCAATCTCAATCTCTTTACATAGCCTGTGCAGCAAGGAAGTAATTTTTTTCCATTTAAAACAGTCCGATGCTTCTAATATCGAATATTCTACCTGGAGGAAGCTGGACCCTACACCACTTCCACTATATCCTATTAGTTAATGCAAGTCATAGGTCAAATGCTAGCACATGAAGAGAGTCTACACAAAGGCACAGGTACCAACGGGTGTCCATTCTGGAGACTTCCAACACCATTCAGTTCAAAACTTGGAACTGATTTTGCCTTTAGAAGCACAGTTGTAGGCAGGCTGTTGTGGTGCACACCTTCAATTCCAGCATTCAGGAAGCAGGAGCAGGTAGATCTCTGAGATCAAGGCCAGCCTGGTCTACAGAGGGAGTTCCAGGACAGCCAGGACTACACAGAGAAACCCAGACTTGGGGGCAGCAGGGGAGGGTGTTAGAGAAGCATGGTGGCAACATGCCTGTAATCCCAACACTGTAGAGGCTGACTCAGAAGAATCATGAAGATCAGCCTGGGCTACATGACAAAAGCCTTTCTCAATCAACTGATCATCAATAAAGGCAAATTAAAATTCTATAAAACAATAGATGAGAGTACATTGTATATATAAAAAAGTGAGTTTTTAAAGAAACATCACTGTGATGCTACAAGAGACACTAAGAACACTTAGGCTATGTTTTAAATGAGCTGCCCATATAGCAAGAGCTCAAGAAAGAGGTAGACAAAACCAGGAGTGAAATGTAGTTGTGGAATTAGAGCTCATAATTAAGACTACTTCACATAATGTACAAGTGGTTTTAAGCATTTCAAATTTCCAAGAATTCAGTAAAAGTTTAAAACAAATCAAAACAAACACACTTTTTTAAAGCCTTGAGTAGGAAATTTCCAGAAAGAAAAAACTAGAGGAAAGCACCACCTAAGTGTGGCATCAGTCTTCAAACCATCACTAAGACCACCAAAAGCCCATCAAGATGAGCTCACATCCTCCAAGAAGGGAGGGTTATGGGTCTGTCCTCCTTATAATTCCATCCTGTACTTCCTGTGTCTCCTGCCCTGTGCTTTTGACAAGAAGCCAATCTGTACCAAAAGATAATTATTAATACTAGGTTGTTTCACCACTAGCCTTCTCCTAAGACCCATCAGAGGATATGCAAATTCAAAATACCTCTGTTCATTGTGTACCCAGAAACCTTAAACTAGGAAGGGAAACTCCCAGTGTTCAAGATAGTGGCACCAGGGGCTAGGGAGATGGTTCAGCCACCAAGATCCCTTGTTGCTCTTGCAAAGGACCCAGGTTGGGTTCCCAGCGCCCACAGGACGGTTCACAACTGTCTGCAACTCCAAATCCAGGGGATCTGATGCCCTCTTATGACCTCTGAAGGCATTGCATGCATATGGGTACATGGGCATACTTTCAGGCAAAACATTCATACCCAAACAAGGAAAATAAATAAGTCTTTTTTTAAAAAGTGACACTAACATGTGTTGTCAAGACTGCTCTGTCACACAAAATTAGATAAATCTTCCTTCTACAAACACGCTGGGCCATGGCTTCCACTAGAGCACGGACTGCTTCTCCCTGTGTTATTAATGCCTGAACTCTCCAACTTGACATCTGGTACAGAGTTCATTCTCAGATGTTGGTGAGTTACTCAATTTATGCGTTGAGTCACCTTGTCAGTTGGGAGGCACTCATATCTCACCAGTTTTCAGTTGCTCGCACTTGATCACTTCATTTCTCAAGACTTCCATCCACAAGGTTCGTTACATAGTGAAGAGACTTCTCAGAAGTTCTTGGAGTGCATGCATCTAAGCGGGTGACTTCCACAGACACTACTTGGGGTTCGGAAGATACACTATAAAGCTGATGAAGACCCAGAGCCCCAAGTGCTTTCCGAAACCACATCAGAATGTGTTCACTGCCTTCTGTGTGAGAGCTGATTAGCTTGCCCTGTAACTCCTCCTTGGCCAGGATCTGAAAAGGATAAAAGGCTTAGCTCTCTCCTCTGTGTGTTCTGAAGATAAAAAGGATAGCCAGCTGGTGTGCGTGGACTGCGCATGTGCCAGGTGCTCTTCAGCTCCTCGCAGAAGGTGTGTGAGCCCTCATGAACATCTCCATCTAACAACACTGAGACAAGGAGGGGCTCGGTGAAGTGCCAGCGTCATCTAGCCCAACTGCCGTCCCTTCGCGGTTGACCCTTGTTTGCCCAAAGCAGTCCACTTGCTGTGAGACAGGGGCCCTTCCGTTCTTCACCAAATTTACTTGAAGAACTCAAGTGGTGACCAGCAACCCATACTTTTTTTCCCCAATTCCCTGGTTTTGTTTTGTTTCGAAAGTACAGGAGCACATTGGAAAGCAAAAGTGCTCTAAGGTTTTTTTCTTAGAGGAGGGAAGAACGGTCTGATAGCCAGACTGTGAGCACAGCGCCTGCAGCCTGGAGACAAACTCTTCTTTCACCATTGGGTCTGGAGGCAACGGGGTAAGCTATCCACCCACTCCCAGCCCCAGCCCACACATAACAGTCACGATTGGGAACAGCCGTGCTGGGTGTTGGTCTCAGGTTAGAAACACCCGTTGCATGATCAAAAAGCTATCAACCCTCAAGATCCAGGGGCCCTCCTTCTGTTTTGAAGGTGGTATTCGGATACTTGGTTGTAGTGGGTTATTTCTTATTGTTAATTCCCAAATATGTCCAATCATAACATTTATTCATTTGTGGGGAGTGGTATGCAGGCCATGACACACATGGGGAGGTTCCCAAACAACGTTTAGAGTTTAGCTCTCTCCTCCTCTGTGTGTTCTGAGGGCTAAGTCCAGGTTTTTAGGCTCAATGGTGAGTACCTCTCCTATCAGCAGCTGGTCTCACTGGGTCTCTAGATGATTTTTTTGTTTAAGTTAGAAACAAGCTTGTTTCACACTTGTCAATCCCAGCTCCTTCTCCCTCCCCTCCTCCCCATCCCTCCCCACCAGGTCCCCCAGTCCCCCACCCAATCTCCACTCCGAACCCCAGGGAGGGTGAGGCCTCCATGGTGGATCTCCAGTGACTGTCATTTCATCCAGGGCAGGGCCTAGGCCCTCCCCCAAGAGTCCCACCTGAGAGAGCATCCCATATTATGGCATGGTAGACCTCTAGATTTTACACAGGTGAATCTAATGTTTCAAATATAGGATGACTAGAATTGAAAATAAAATCACAGCTATAACTGTAAATATTTAACATCTATCAAAAGCAGCAACTTCTCTGACTGGATTTTTGAAGTCACAGTCAGGAGGCCCGGAGCTCTACAAACAATGGGAGAAACGCTCATTTGTTGCTGACAGCCTGACAGTATCAGTCCTATAATACATCCTGAACTTGTTCTGGCCAACCTGCATCCTTTGCAGACATGGCTGCTGTCACTGCAGCTGCTGCTGCTGAAAACTGTAACGTCCAGATGGAGGCAAAGTTGTCAGTTTCCTACAACTGAAAAAAAATCCAGATTTTGAAAGAAAAGGGCGTTGTCTATAACTAATTGTACACTATATACATACACACACATATATATATACACGAAATATTTAGGTATTCATTCTTGTTCTGAATTTTTTCAGAGAAAGAGGTGGCTCTTGTAACATAGCTTTCTTGGTCCAGGTAGGTCCTGCCACCCTTCTCTGCCGCAAAGAAACACACGGACGTTATATTAATTATGAAACTGTTGGCCAGTGACTATGGCTTCTTATTGGCTAGCTCTGACTTAATTATTAACCCATAACTACTAATCCATGTATTCCCATGTGGTCTTGGCTTAACGGACATGCAACTCCTTTGCCTGCTACATGATGGCGGCTCAACATCTCTGAAGACAAGACAAAAGAGGAGAGGAGGGGAGGGAGGGGAGGGGAGGGAGGGGAGAGGAGAGGAGAGGAGAGGAGAGGAGAGGAGAGGAGAGGAGAGGAGAGGAGAGGAGAGGAGAGGAGAGGAGAGGGAGAGGAGAGGAGAGGAGAGGAGAGGAGGAGTGATTTCCTGTTTGTCCCTGCTTATATTCTGATTTTTCCCAGCTACATCACTTCCTGGGATCACATGACAACTACTCTCTGCCTACATTTCCAGAATCCTCCTTGTCTCCTAGTCCTACCTGTCAATCTGCCTGGCCAATCAGTATTTTATTCATCAACCAATAAGACAAACATAAACACAGAGGAACATTTCCCCATCAGTCTCTTTTGCATAGTTTTGGGAACGTGCTTCTCTCAAGTCTGTTTCTTCTCAACCTGCGATAATGATGACTCAGCTACAGGCCAGGGTTACTAAAAATGACTTTTTCGTCTCCTATGACACAGTCTTGTAAATGGACATTGTCTATTTCCAGCACGGTCTTTAAAACTAGGAAACAGAAAACAGCAGTGAGGGGGCAGGTCACAGTGAGGGACAGGCCATCTGTCTACCTCATCCAGGTCCCTGAGTTCCAGAGTACGTCCCCAGCATGAGGCAAAGCCAGAATGCACATGCTCCAGCCAGAGACACCCTCCTTTCAACATCCACCTGGAGCACATTAGCCACTCTGTGACCCAGAGACCCTTTTGTCTTCACAACAGAAACTCATTTGCATTTGTTGCCCTAAGGACACAGTGATTTAGCACAGTGTCAGAGAATTCAAAAGAAAGTGTGCTATCTATGTGGGAAAAGACCATTAAAAATCTATATTAGTCAGTGAGGAGGCCTAGGCAATCTATGGGGGCCTTGGGTCTTACTTAGATCAGCATTTATCCCTGGCATATGAATGGACTTTGGATGCCCATCCCACAATGAGGGATGCACTCTCAGCCTGGACTCTTAGGTGAGGGCCTAGGC